TTTTTATTTCTTTGGTTTCAGTTGCTACTTCTCCTTTCATTTCTAATTGTATTTATTTGGGTCCTCTTTCTTTTTATCTTGAGTCTGGTTTAAGGTTCAATCTTCTTTATCTTTTCAAAGAACCAAATCTTGGTTTCATTGGTCTTTGTATTGTATTTTGAGACTCTATTCCGTTGATATCTGCTCTGATCTTTACTATTTCCTTCCTTCTACTTTGGGTTTTGTTTGTTCTTTTCCTAGTTCCTTTCCTTGTAATGTTAGATTGTTTGAGACTCCTGTCTTGAAGTAGGCCTGCAGTGTTAGGGCTTTCCCTCTGATGACTGCTATCCCTGTGTCCCACAGGTTTTGGGTTGTCTGTTCATTTTCATTTGTTTCAAGGTATCTTGTGGTTTCTTCCTTGATCTCGTTAATCCATTCATTGCTTAGTAACAAGTTATTTAGCCTCTGTGTTGTGGTGTGTTCTTCAGTTTTCATGGACATCTTTTAAAACCACGAGCGCCTAGGTCATCTGGGGACATGTTTTCTTGATCAGGCGGTGCACCGGCCCTGGTTCTGAACCTGCGCAGGAGGAAGCAATGCTGGCGCGCAGCCGAGCTCTGCAGGCACAGTGCTTGTGGTCACAATAGTGCAAAGTGTTCTCCAGATCAAGCCATAGTCTAGCTTGTTGTGACTACAGAATGGAGTGTAAATGTAGCCCTTGACGACAGGAAAGCGAACTGGGGACAGAAGAGGGGCTGCCTGTCAGAAACTGAGACTCTTCTCCTGTTCACAGGATTCAGTGACACTGACTGAAACAAGTTCACTACACACGCACCTTTTTAGTGTCTTTCCTAGCTCATGGTGTAACAAAACGGAAGGTGATCCAGATGCTCTGAAGCAGCAGTGAAGGGCAGCCACAGCCTTAGTAACCTGTGTCCTTTTCTCCCCCAGGTGGGCGGGATCAAGGACAAAGTGCTGGCAGCACACAGAGCGGGCCTGAAGCGGGTCATCATCCCTCAGAGGAACGAGAAGGACCTCGAGGAAATCCCAAGCAACGTGCGCCAGGATTTAAGCTTCGTCACAGCAAGCTGCCTGGACGAAGTCCTCAACGCGGCCTTCGATGGCGGCTTTGCGGTCAAGAGCAGCCCTGGTCTCTTAAACAGCAAGCTGTAGGCTCAGCGCAGCTTCCCAGGAGTTTGAAGTGCCCAGAGGTACTGACGAGGGTGACTCCCACACCTGTCAGGGAAGCAAGGTGTCCCTTAATGCGCGGACATAATCACAGCAGTCACGAACCTCGCTCACAGGTTGGCTAGTGTTTATTACAGAAACAGATTTAATAAACTGATGCAAATTAAATTCTTCTCTTGTCTTTCATGGGATGGCTACTGTCCTTGTAGAGGTGTAAAGAGCACTGGCTCGCAGCAGGGGCCAGAACAGAAGCCCCTGTATTACCTGAGAACTTGCTAGAAATGTCAACTCTCCAGCCCGACCAGGAGCCCTCGGGGTGATTCAGCTGCACAATCAAGGCTGAGAACAGCTGGTAGAGACAGTGACCTTGGTAGATTCCTCTGTGGATGTCGCTGAGTCTGGAACAAACAGCTGATCACTAGGAAGGAGACTGGGCAAAGGCGGGAACAGAGCCAACAACCAGCCGTGGTGGGGAAGGCAGCACTCGGGCGAGGGGAGCGCCGCAGGCGCCCACGCACGGGGCGCAGGCCCCTCCTGGGCTGGGGGAGGGTGCGCCTGGTGCCAAGTCAGGCAGCACAGCGGCTCGGCCCGCACCCGAAATGTGCCCACCCTGCGTGCCGCTGTCGTAGGATGAAGTCCACTCCCCACAGGGAGGCCACCAACCATCGTAGGACAGGGCCCACGCTTGCCGCCCGGCCGCCTCCCCTTCTGCTGCTCGTCTGCCTGTGCCGACTCCCAGGTGTGTGCCGCCTCCACTCCTGTGCCTCGGGCAGCACGTGGGCACCTGGGAGGTCAGGCTGGGGAGCCCCCTGAGCGCAGCTGCTCTGACCTGTCAGGCGCAGGCTGCGGTGCAGACCCAGTGTAAGGACACAGGTTAGATTAAAACGCAGTGTGGGAAACGCCACGCGCTCCGTAGCGGCTGTTCCAGCCAACAGTGGTTCAGGCGCTTCCACAACGTAAGGACAGATCTGTAAGGACACTTAGAAATTTCCTGGACAAGAAAGGGGTCTGCCAGTGACGCAAAGACCTGCCAGTAAAATCCAAATGTGCCCCAGGGGACAGGCTCAGCCCTGGGGCTCACTGCGGGCAGCACCCCACGGACCCGGCAACCTCGGCTGTCTCTGCAGCCCCCCAGGGGAGAAGAGGAACTGCCGTGCGGCCCAGCAACCAGGGTGGGCCGCCCACACCCAGGCTCCGCCGCAGCCACCCCGGGAAGCAGCCCGGCAGGCCTTCCTCTGCGGGCGCCCACCCAAGACCGCACTGCACGCGGCCTCTAACCTCCAGCCTTCGCTGCTCTGCCGCTGTTCCCAGTCTTAGAAGTCGAAACTTTTGTGTTCACTTTCCTTTCTTAACCATTAATGTGCATCCACACCTTTTCCCTCGCTTCAGCCTGAAAGCGACAGACAGTAACTCCCATCCTCTGTCGCCCCCAAACCCTGTCAGCACTCGCAGCCTCTGGGCCTTGTGAGCATGCGCGTGGCCGGGCAAGGAGGGGACACAAAGATGCCAGCGGTGCCCTTGGCGACAGGCCTCCACAGCACCGTCCCTGGCTGTCTCTCTTTTATAACCTACATAAATGGCCACAGGACTCCACCCCTGGCCGTCCCCTCGGTCAGCCCCGCGCCCTGATCTCTCGCGGACCCTCACGCACCAGCACAGACGGGCCCCATGTCTGCACAGTGTGAGCCGGTAGTTTGTTAATTTGGGTGGTTCTCCCGCTCAGGAAGCTGAAGGGAATAGAATGCCATTAGAAAGGTCACTGCAGACGTCCCTGCATACGTCCCTGCATATAGCTCTTGAGCTCTGGGGTGGCTCAGGGGGGTGGAGACAAGACAGATTTCAAGTCACACATGTTACAAAGTCACAGCAGGAAAAAAGCTTGTCCCCAGCTGCCATTAACATACTACACTGGCACGTGATTCAACTCAACAACAAATTCAAGTTTATAAAAGCAGGAGAACCAAGTTAAAGGGTATCCCCTCCCCCTCTCCTCTACAATCCCCTGAAAGAAAACCAGGCACCAAAAGAAGGGGCGGGAGCATTAATAGAAAACAACACCGATTATCACAAAGATGAATTCATAACAAAAGAGACCTCAAATCAAATCTCAAAGGACCACAAAATATGCCTCTAGGGCTCTTCATCCCTGTAGGCCAAGAATCTGAAGACAACTTCGAAGAAATATAGTTAACAACTATTAAACCGTCAACTTTAGCTGTCAAACACAAAATTTACCATCTTAGTTTGCATAAATTAGCAAAATACGAAAACAACCAGAAGAAAAATCCTTCCCGCCATTGTGTCCATGGAAACTTCCAGAAAGCAATGCTGAAAGTGTATAGACCTTAAAACAATAAAGAATACCAAGAATGTCAGAAAACATAGCAATGTTCACAGGTTAGTTATAAATAGCCAAAAGTTCACCTGGGCAAAACGGGCAAATATCCAACATCAGACAGTTCTCACAAAATGTACGCAGAATGGAGTTTTTCCAAGATTAAAGTGATAACATGCTCAGAGGCCTGTGTGAGGATGAGAAGGGGTCACATAATTACACAACCCAAAATCACACGACTTCAAACCAACTGTGTGAGCGCAGGCAAGTACACGGAAAGGACCAGAAAAACGGCCATCACCGGGCGGGTGAGCTACAGGTCTCTACTGTGTGTGCCATTTTCTAACTTCCCACGTCTATATACAGAGCACGTTTTTTAAGTATTTTAAAAACAAAGTAATCAACCTCTCTCCAGAAATAACCAGTAGAGCTGACCTTTGAACAAAGCAGGGGTCAGGGGTGCGGACTCCCGCAGGGTAACCCCTATGGCTCCTGCTGACCGAAAGCCTTCCGGACAACCCATGTGTTACAAACTCTATCCTTGCAATAAAGCGGGGAAAAAGGTGAAAACCCTGAGAAAGCGCGCACACCTCCTGTGCCGCCCACTGAAGGCGCCGCACACGCCGCGGGCCGCGCCGCTCAGGCCCTGCCCGAGGGAGGCCGGAGGCTTGGTGAGGGCGACACGGCTTTCCCGGACAGACCTGGACGAGCGTTTGCGGCCGGCCCCGTTTCCTCTCACCACAAACTCGGTCGCACAAGCCCAAGGCTCGCGTAGAGGAGATGACAGAGTCCTCTTTGTTGACGATGGGTGACAGGAGTGACCTCCGCGATCCAGAGCTGGGCGTGGTGGCTTGGCGGGGTCCTCAGGAATTCCAGCTGGCTTTCCAGTTAGGGAGCCACGGAAGCCACGCGTAGGAAAGGGACCTCGGTCACCCAGAAGGCAGTTTCTGCCGCTGGCCGGCTGCACCAGGGTGACGAGCGACCGTCGGCTCTCCGGTGCCCGTCAGCAGCGTGTGGAGAGCGCTGCCGTTTGCTGGATGCTTATTGTGTGCACGGCGCCGTGGCGGGGATCCCAGCTCTCCCGGGGGAGCCGCCCGAGGCGGCCCCCCTCAGGGCCCCGCCGTGCACACCAGGGAACGGCGGCTCACGCCGCTGGCGCGTGCCCTCGGCTGGGGCTGCTGGGTGGGTCCGCAGCAGGCTGGCATCCGAGCCCAGGCTCGTCATCCCGAGGCTGTGAGACAGTAACTCATTTTTGTTCTCTTTTTGAAGAGGAAAAAAGTGATCAGCATTTTATCGGTCTCCGAAGAGCTCTGAGAATGGAAACGTGAGCGAGAGGGCGGCAAGGCCGGCAGCCCAGAGAGGCCGGCGCTCTGCCGGGCAGAAGGCACCGGGCTCCCACGCGGCGCAGCGCTCCGCTGCAAGCACAGGGCAGCACAGAACTTGGGATTCCAGTCAAACTTGGAGCTGAAGCAGACACAAGAGTTCTTTAATTTGCCAGATATTCTTTTAATGAGAATTATAAAAGACCACAAACATTTTTTTTTGCAAACTGCCTTTTTTAAAACAAATGATTTGCTTTTAATTACAAATACTGTGTAAGACAATGCCTTCTTTTGCAAAACCAATAAATATGAGAACAAATTTTAAACATGTGATTTGTCCAAAATATTTGAAAAAAAGCCTGATATTTTTTTTAGTGTTTTAAAAAAATCATATATCCTAACCTTTCAAAGAGTAAGTTTAAAGATCTGACTCAACTGGAGGGGGGGAAGAAGAAAGAAAGGCAGACTGACCACCTCATAGCTGCTTTAAATAGCTTCTTGTGATTCTTCCGGCGTCGCCTTTCCTTTCTGGGACTCTTCACAAAAACAGCTGAATTTAAAGTATTTCTAATTAACTGATTAATGGGGAGAAAAAAATATTATGGAACACACATGTATAAACTTTACCATAAACAATTATGCATATCAAAAAGACACTAACGTTAAAAAGGTACAAAAAAAAAAAAAAAACCTGGGAAAAGCCTGAATTACAGAAAAGAAAGTCAAATTTATTTAATGAAAAACTAGAATTAATAAAAATTAGCAAATACACACACAAAAAAATATACACACACAGCAGCACTATGTATTGACTCAAAAAGGGGGAAGCAGCGGCCCAAGGCCACCCAACATGGCTTGTCAGTTAAAGGAAAAAACCCAAACACACGCTCACGCACACACACGCACACACGCACACGCACACAGGCCAAAACAAAAAACAAAACCCAGTATTCTTCAACAGTACACTCAATCTACAACAAACACAAATTCAGAATTATTTTACAATGCTTCCTTTCTTAATACAAAAGATGCCCATCTTGGGGGTATATATATATATATATATTTTTCAGTGGTTTACTGTTGACTTATTTTAAATATATTAGTGTTACTACATGCAACTGTCTCCTGTATTTAACAGCCTTTCCTTTTATTCGCCTTCACATGACTGGCTCCACCTGCCCAGAGTTCCAGAGTGGCAGGCAGAAGGGGGCCTGCTCTCTGTGAAATTGAATGCAATGGTTCTAAACACTGGCCAGAAAATGTTTGATTGCCATTTCAACACATGGAAATAGTTACATTGATGCCTAAATTGCCATTTTCTGCAAAAAGCTGTGCAATGCTGGTGTCAAAGACTAGACAGTCGCTATTCATAATGGCGGTTGCAATTCCCTCATGAATAGACCGAGGAGTGGCTTCCCAAGTCAATCGCCGCCTGTGACCATTTAGCTCAAGTCGATAAGCAAAATTTTCAGCTTGCTTGCGTGTCCCTATCAGCTGCACGATTGCAAAGAACTGCTGGTGGCCGTCGTACTTCTCCTGTTTCTCCAGGACCAGCATGAAGTGGAAGCCGAAGCAGGACTGCATCATCACCCAGTCCACGGCCCCGGGGAGGTTGATGTCCGTGGCGAGGAACACGATGTCCTCCCCCTGCAGCGTCGTGATGGACTTGTGCTGGTGCATCAGGTGCGGCATGACCGCGTCCAGGGAGCCCTGCCACTTGCAGGACGCGCCGGGGCACGGGCAGGAGTAAGGCCGAAACTCGCAGAGCTCCTCGTGGTCCGCTTTTTCTGTGTGCGGCAGAGTTATTTCACACCCGGAGGAGGCATATTTACAGGGGAAAAGTACCGAATTGGCCACTTTCTCCATAGCCAAGTTGCGGATGGATCCCAAGGGGCCCCGGCAGGTTGGACAGCATGTGAGCTTTGGGCGACAGTTGCTACAGACAAGATGGCCGCTCTGGCACTGGAGAATGGGTGGCAACACATAGTCGAAGCAGACAGGACACTCAAAAAGACTGGCCAAGTCATTGTTGGAGGCAGTGGTGCCTGTCAGGGCGGGCACCCTCTGGGACGGTGTGCACTTGGAGGTCCCAGTAGGCAACGCTGTTGCAGTCTGGCGGCTCATTTCTGTAATAAAAGCATAAATATAAATAAAAAGAGGAAGGAGAAAAGCAGTTATAGTTGTAACTTATTTTACTAAGTTATACTCGTTTTATGCAAATGTTACTGAGCAAAACAATAAAGGAAAATAAACAGGGTTAAAAAAAATCATTAAAATATGCATTTTGATCACTAGGAGTTATACACTGGATGAAATAGCTCTACAAAATGTTCCAGAACACATCAGAATTCACTTTCTTAAAAAAAAAAAAAAAAGCCTCCAAGGACCCTGAGACACGCTGTGAGGAGCGGAAGCTCAGCCCTCTTGCTTTCGACTGGACTTTCTCCTCCCTCGGCATTCGGTTCCCCAGCTCAGCCTGTTCTTCCCCCTCCTGAGTCAGCTGCTGACAGCAACAGGGAGTCAGAAGCGACCCGAACAGTCACCAAGGTGCTGGCTCTGATGAACTCCTAAGGATGGCCAGTCGTTTGCCCGAGAGGTGCCCCTGGGGAGCGGAGAGGGTCAGAAGGGCCAAGTGCACCCATCCACCCATCTTCGTCTCTCCCGCCTTTCCCCAGAACGTCAGCATCGGCCGGCTGTCTGTCTTGATTCCCACCGACAGGCGCCCCTGGAAGGTGAGGGGCTAGAGGACAGAGGAGGGGCTATCCTCGAAGTTTCTAGTCTGATATTCACAGAAAGTGAATCATTCTATTCTTCCCCTCCACAATATAGATCAGATATAATTTGCCAAGGGGAAGGTTAGGAAAAGAAGGTAAATAAAAATAAAAGCACCAGAGAGACACACACAACACTGGACGGGGGGTGCGGGGGAGGACCCCTTGCACCCCTAGGCTCACCACCGCTGCCGAGACATTTGCCAGCGCAGCAAGACGTGTCAGGGAGCAATGCTACCTGGCAGCAATAGCCGGCAATGTGACTACCTTTCAGGCTGCATGAAAAATAAAACAGCACCTTTCCCCAGGAATCTACCTGTGTCTTCGGGTCAGGGGCAAAATACCAGCCTGGTGGCCTACGAGTGTAGTCCCATAGCTATATAAGCCGTGTGTCTATAAAATGTAATGCCTCAAATTTAATGTTTGCTCAATTATAATTGTTATTCTGTTGCAAAGAACTTAATTTTGAAAACCAACACTGGCCACCAATAGGACATGCCGCTGCCACCTGGCTCTACGTCGCTCGGGAGCAGACACTTTCAAGTGCAGCCGAGGGCACGAGCCAGGGCGATCGGGCCGCACCGAGGAGGAGCCAGCACAGCCCCAGGCCACGCTCGGCGCACACACTGCCCTCGGGACAGCCCCCCTCAGGGCTTACGCCCGAAGCCCCCTGCGTGCGGGCGCCCCGGCTTCCTCTGTTCCAGGCTCCCCAGGAGACTCCTCCTGCACGTGACCCACACATTTTAGGTCATTTGTCAAACAACGGGGTTAGCACTGCCAAACGCCCTGTCTGCTGCATGCCGATTCCATGGTCCCTCACCTAAGTCAGCAGCATAGCGATGGGAGGGGGGGGCATTCTAAGCCACCAATGCCTTTCATATCACTAAACTGAAAAAGCTAATCCCATCCAGAGTCAATAAACTCAGTTTGCATTCAACATAATGTAACTATTAAGTAAGAAAAACACTACTGTTTAATTTCTTGGCCTAACAAAATAGTTATACATTTAACAATAGTTCAGGTTCATGTTACAATTTATCTTTATTATCTTCCAAACACTGTAAAAAGTACGATTTAAATTCCTATTCAAAGTGTGAAAACATGTGAAACACGGTGGGTATTTCTTGCAAATGAAGGTACATTCACAAGATAGCTGTTGCTAGAACCTCCCAGAGCTCTGAAGGTGGAACCCAGCTGCGCAGTTCAAACAGAAGGGCAGCCGACTCCAGGCAGCCCCACAGTCGGCAGCTCGGACTCCGGTGCCCACGGAAAACTGCGGAAGTCGCGAGGTGACCTTAAGTTTGATTTAAGTGCAAATCGAAAGAAACGCCCCTGCGAGTTGGATTCCGCTGCAGCCCGTCCCCGACCCAGCCGGCTCCCGCCGCTCACAGCTCCCCGTCCCGGCTCCCGGGCCGGCGGAAGCCAGCCAGCCCCTTCAATGCCAGTACCTTTTCTCTTCCTCGTCCCAGCGGCTGGCAGACACGTGAGCCAGGCGCCCCTCCAGGAGCACAGCGGAGCTGAGGCCGACTTCCCGGTCATGGGAAGCCAAGCAGCGCGCAGCCCTTCCCCCAGAAGCAGAGACAGGCGGCAGCAGAGGCCCCTCCTGAACGGTTTCTGCTCCTGAGCATGTCGCGGTCAAGCTGTCAAGGCGCGCAGGACGTGCCCTGCTCCGTCCACCCCATTCCCTCCTCAGAAGTGCCGGAGACAGAGGCAGCGAGAGGAAGCCTCCTCTGCCCCACCGGGAGTGGATCGCACCTCCCCGAGCTCAGATTCGACTGCGTCTCCAAAAACGGGCGCCATCGCTGAACTGCCCAGCCGTTTGGCCTCCCCACATCCACGAGCCAGGCCCCGCCAGCTCGGGGGCAGGGCGGCTGCAGGGGCGCAGGGGCGGCACCCTGGGAAGGCGGCGCGCTCGGAGCCGCTCAGGAGCGACTGCAGGCTCCGGCCACGGGAGAGCCCTTCCGGGCCCAGGGCCGGGCCGCTGCAGCTGGAGAAGCCGGCTGCACCAGCGGCCGCTGGCGCCTCGCTCGGGCGCGGCCGGAGGCTCTGCGGGGCGGGAACGGGGCGGGGCGGGAACGGGGCGGGGCGGGACAGGAAGGGGGGATGGCTGGGGGGGGTGACCGGGGCGGGGCGCCCCGAGCTCAGCCCCGCCCCCAGCCCCACCCCCAGCGTGAGGCCGCTCCCAGGCACGCACAGCCCGCCGCCGGACTCTGACCCAGCCCAGCGGGGAAAAGCCGGCCGCGCTGCACCGCCACCGGCTTAGAGTTAGGCGGAGCACGCTGTGTGTCGGCCGAAGTACTCGGGCATCGACGATTTCGGGTGGTTTCGACCTGACCTCAGGCTGCCCGCAGGGGATGCCACGGCCACACCAGCACCCTTCTCCCCACCCCACTCAGGGGCTGCTTCCCAGGCGTCCTCACGGTCGCTCACGTCTCCATCTCTACCGCCAGCACCCCATTTGGAACCCCCCCCCCGCCCCGTCGCTCCAGAAACACTGCAGTGAGAAGTAGCACACCCTCCCCCCCTTAAACTCCCACTACTGCCTCCACGAAGCAATGACATTCCCTTCCCACTCCGGGAAAGCCAGCCTACACGGCCTCGTGAAACAGAGTGGCTCGTCTGGTCTCTACACAGGCGTGAGCCTCGCCCCAGCCCAGTCCTGGGCCTCGGGCTTGCATTGCGCCAGCAGCGCGCTCGGGCGCAACCTGCCATTACATCAGGCCCCGGGCAGCCTCCGAGCCGGGCAGGAGCTGGCAGCCGGGTGGAGCCCTCGGCAGGAGAGCGCAGATCACTCACTCTCAGCCTCAGATCTTACCTCTAACCACTGCCCACCCCAGTAGCTGTGCGTTTAGTCCTCGACCTTCTTCTACTACTAGGCTATACAAAACATCATTAGGAGTAGAATATAATTGAAAATACATTGTTGACAAAAATAAATTGCTATTACTTACGTTTTACTTTTTAATACCGATCTGTTCTAGATAGGTCTCAGGTTTCTAGGACAGAAGTATTCAGGCAGAGAAACTCTTTCCAAAAAGAATTAAGGCAGAACCCAAATGTACAAAACAAGTAAAGGAGACGCCTGACTCCACAAGCTAAAAGAATTTCATCTGTTCCCCAAACTTCCAAAGGACCTCCAAGGAGCCTTCCCGCACGGACCAACCATTAATCTATGGACAAACTTCTCAACAAGCGAGTCCTAACACTAGAAGCAGAGTGTTTCCGAGCCTCCTGCACTTGAATTCAAACCCGGTCTCCACCTCCAACCCCTGCTCAGCTGCGGCACCGGACATTTACAGCCCGTGGGCATTCTGTCTGGATTAAGGGAGAGGGTAACTTACCTATGTCACAGGACATACATATTCCAGATTATCTAACTATTTGCCCAACAGGTCCAAAAGTTACTTGCCTGAGGTCATCAACTAGTTAGAGACCTAGAATGAGTGGGTTCCAGAGACACAATCCAGCATGTAAAGGTGACCAAACATGTCTGCCAAAGATCAACTGCCATTTAACTAATTTTTATACAGTAAACCTTAGAAGAATTCCTCCATTAGGTATAATACTTATCTACAGTGGTTTTACAAGGAGCTGAAAATTTCAAAAAAACTGCAATACACTAAGACAAGTCCATAGAATCCCAGGTAAGCAAAATTCAAAATTTTGCAAGAGTGTACTAATTGCCTACACTTTCTAAAAACTGCATCTAAAGTCCAGGTTGGTGTGAAGTTTAAATAGATTTTAACCTACACAAAAACATTTTAGAAACAGCCTTTAATGTTGTCTTAGCAAGTTCAGGGCATTTAACCATTGCTCTGACATAGCAACATACAGTAGAAATGGCTGGACTTAAACTTTTATTCTCAATTTCATGTGGGAACTTGTTTCCTTTAATTAAATGGCTGACAAAGAATTTGTCTGATTAGTCATAACCGCGTTCCTGGCTACTCTAAATGAACACATAATGTTGTGCTTAGCATTTTCTTCTGGTTTACAAATGTTACAACAGAAGGCAAATAATGCCCCCCTCAAAGATGTCCACATCCTGACCCCTGCCACTGAGCCTGTGAAAATGTGACATTCCAGCCGCAGCAGGAATCTAATAGTTACCAACAAAATCTGAAATGGAGAAAGAGCCAGACATGGCAACGGATCACAATGTGTCACCCTAAAGCAGTTTACAAACAGAGCACAGGCAGCAGGCCCAGGGGCGGGGCGGGAGCGCTCTGCCCCGGAAAATGACCAGTGAGGGAGCTGGGTGGTTTCAGCTCCATTGCCTTCAAAAGGGACAATAAAGAAACTTTTTTATCAAGATTAGTCTGACTGAGAAATGTGAAAACAGTCAAAATAAGAAGTAAAACTTGAACTCTTAATTTAGTAAAACAGATAGACTACAAATACCATTATCCTTTTTATTTCTCCAAAAATTAGTCCTAGAAATGACATATTTACTGTAAAGTAGAAAGAAGTACAGGTTCCTGTTATAAATTGCACTCTGTTTTAGAAACCAAGGGGTTAAATGAAACTACTCCATTCAAAACATTTAAGGGCTTCTCTCCTTTCCTCAACTGCTTTATGTAAAAAAAAAAAAAAAAGTACTTTCTACATTTGACATTGTGATGGGTATTATGTAGAAAATGTTTGTTAAATTTAATGTTAAAAATTGCTTCTATTTTAAGATCTACTTTTCACACACTGACAGAATTTAGGCGGGTCTCACTGAAAATTCAACAGCTTAAAACACCAAGTTAAAAGGCAAACTTTGTTATTAAACAATAATGCTAAGAAAAAAACCTATCTTCCGTTTCCAGAACTGTAGCAAAGTGATAAGAAAAATTTTTTAATCGTACTTATCTTCCCAAAAGCTCCCTTCTCCCGCAGGTCCATCCGAAAGCTCTGCAGCTACAGAAGGGAAGTTAGTGCCCAGCGAGGCCCGGCGGAGGCGCAGCCCGCGGCGTGGGGGGCGGGGGGCGGGGGCGGTGCGGGGGGGGGCGCGCAAACCCTAACGCAGGTCCCGCGCCGCGGCCTTGGCGGCCTTGGCTTTCTCGCCGACTGAACCGCTGTGCTCTGACGCTTCCGCCGCAGGTAACAAGCATATGCGCGGAGAGCACAGCTTAATCCAAGCCCGTTGGGCACTATACTAGCTGGGTACTGAACCCCACTAATGGCAGAGGCGCAGCAGCAGATGCCTGTAAAGCGTCCGGTCAAAAAAAGCAGTCGAAACACAGAAGAGTCAAGGTTAGAGACTAAGAAAGAGAAACTTGCCTAAAGTAAAAGAAACCCCAACCCTGAAAGACTGAGCGGCTCCCCAGAGGAGAAGGAAGCAGCGCCCAGGCCACAGCGGCCCCCAGCCGCCCTCGCGCGGACCGCCCGCTCGGGGCGCAGTAACACGCGCACTCCGACTTAGGTCGGGGTGCGCGCCCCGGGCTCCCGCGCGCCCCGCCGCCGGCGAGGCCCCGCAGCGGCGACAGTCAGCAGGACGGAGGCGGTGACGAGCACAGGCGAGAGAAAAGGCGGGGCCGGGGGGCGTCTCGGAAGTCAGGGGTGGGTGAAAGAAGATATATAAAAACTCACATGTGCATCAGTAATAGAATAAACTATGCTTTATTGTATTCTTACAGAAAACTTGTATTATTTCTGTAATCAGAAAAACTGAAAAGGCAACAGGTAGACACGTTTAGACACACAAGATCTCAGGGAATATAGTACCCATGAACTCTTACAAAAATGACTTGATGGAAAAAAAATCAAACCAATCAAGGGATGAATCAAAATTAGTAATTTAGAAATGGTGATTCAGCTGTAAAAAGATTAGTCAACAGTGACTCTACTTAAATACAGAACTAAGACTAAACTACAGGTATTATAATTACAAACTAGGACATAAATATTATAAACCTTGGCAAGGTACAAATAATTATAAAATAATAAACAATCATAAGATAATGAAATAGTAAAAATAAAATGGCACAACCATGTGGAATCCACTAAGAGGCCAAGTAAGCGCAGGTCATGGCTTGGCAAACATGGAAGTTAAAATAAATTCAGAAAAAGATCTTACACCTTCACACTAGTTAGACTTTGAATCAAAGACCTAAGTGTAAAATATAAGACTATAAAAACTCCTAGAAGTCAACATAGGAGAAAATCGAGATGGCCTTGAATTTGGCAATGACGTTTAGAAATACCACCAAAGACATGAACCAGGAAAGAAACAATCGATAAGTTGGACTTAATTAAAATTAAAAATCTCTGCTCTGCAAAGTACACTGTCAAGAGGATGAGAAGACAAACCACAAACTGGTAGAATATAATTGCAAACAGCATGTTTGATAAAGAACTACCATATTTTGCCAGGTATAATTATGCACATTTTGCCCAAATTTTTGAGGGAAAATAAGAGTGCACATTATACATGCATATTATATATTACATGCCATGGGTATAACTATCCCATGTATAATGCACATAAAACGTGGGTGCACATTATACATGGGCGTGCATTACACAGCAAAACACAGTATTATCCAAAATATACAAAGAAATCTTCAGCCAACATGTTTCCTCTGTTTTGTAAAGTTCTGTACATAGGCCTCATAAAGTAGGTTGCGTCTCCAGTCTGCAGATGAGCAAACTAAAAATCAGAAAATTTCTCTTGACCGGTGTGGCTTAGTTGGTTGGAGCATCAACCAGTAACAGAAAGGTTGTGGGTTTGGTCCCAGGCAGGGCAAGGTGCATGTGGGAGGCAGCTGATCAATGTTTACCTCTCTCCCTCCCTCCCCTCCTGTCTCTCTGAAAATAATAAGATCATTTTTTAAAAATCAGAAAAGTTAAGAATAAAAGCAGAGCCGCACTGTCTGCTTTATTCCTAAATCTTATTTTCTTTCAAA